TTAATATCCTTTTCCTGTTCTGATCGCGTTTCGCGTGGGATAAAAATGCTTCCTTCTTTCTTTATTCTAAACTGTTTGTTTGTGTGGGGGGAACCTCTTTCAGTCTTGATTAGTTTAATTCTGTTGCTCGAGAATGTCACCTGCTTGCGTGTCGTCTGTTTGGCGGTATTTTATTTGTTTTTTCGAATGTTCCTTTTTTTCTCGGTGTTTGGTTTTTTGGTGTTGTGTTTTTAATTTTGTCGTGCCTTCATATTTTATTTATTTACTTAGTGGAATTGCCCGGCTTGTTCGGGCTTCTTCTACCCTTTTGAGATTGCGCCGTCTCCGGAGATGCCGCCAGTGATTTTGTACGGGCGCGTCGACCTCCTATGGGCCACGGAGCCGGGGGTGTTGCTGCGGATACATTGGGGCCCCTGCCCCCAGTGGAGACCTCCCGAGCCATGAGTTCTCAAGTCCGTATTTTACAGGGTCGCGGTAGGGGTGTGCCGCCTCGTAGGTAAGTTTTTTAGTTTTCTACATATAATTTTATGCGGTTCGCGTGCGTACGCAGTGTTCGTCGGCGTTTTATCGTATTGTTTTCATTTCCATGTTTTTGCACTATTTCGTAGGGTCCTATCCACATTGCGTCTAACTTCTTTGATCTTCCTCGTCGTATCGTCTCATGATGTAATTGTTCTTGGTCTCCTATGTCAAGTACAGTTCCCTTAGCTGTTCAATCGTAATATTTTTTACTTCTCGCTTTTTCTTCTTTAACGTGCTCCCGGGCTATTTGATTCGTTGCTCGGAGCCGTTGTTTTATTTCCTGCGCATAATCGTCGATGCTATATGTGATTTTTGGCGTTGCTAATATAGATGATGGTAGAGTTGCCTGGTACCCGTATACCAGTTCAAATGGTGTATATTTTTCGTTGTTGTGTGCGGAGTTGTATTATATGTAAAAATCGCGTATGGGATCCATTCATCCCAGTTTGTTTGGTCGTTATTTATATGGTCGGTTTTATTGTGTCGGAGGTATTCCGCGAGTGTTCTATGCGATCTTCCTACGCTCCATTGCTCTGTGGATGATACGCGGTGGTTTGAATTTTTTCTATTCTTAGTAATTTATATACCGTTTTGAATACTTTACTGAGGAAGTTTGTTCCTTGATCTGTTAATACTTTTTCTGGTATCCCATATTCCAGCACTATATTTTCGGTAAATGCTTTCGCAACGATTGTCGCCTCTTGATTAGGTATTGGGATAGCTTTACTGAATTTGGTTAAATTATCCTGGAATGTTAGGATAAACTTATTTTCTTTTGTTGTTATTGTGTGAGTGGTCCTACAATGTCTAGCGCGCATTTTTCGAACGGCTTAGTAGGTGTGTCAGTAATTATCATCGGCGACTTTTTTTGTAGGCTTAATTTATTTTTTTGGCATAGTTCACATTTTTTAATATACTGTATTACATCTTCTGTTATTCCTTTCCAATCATGTTTCATACGTATTCTTTTTAAGGTGCGTTGTATTTCTTGATGCCCTCCCAATGGTGCATCGTGATATTCGTAGAA